TTAACCAGAACGTTATGGTTAATAAAATAGATACGAAAAATAAAATAGAGACAATAAAAAGAATAGATATTTAATAGGTTGATTAACTTGCAAATGATTAGAGAAGAAAAATCAGCAACGGTGTTTATGGCGACCTGGCTTGACGGCATAAGAATAATTAAAAAAGAATTTAACAGTCACATATATATACACGGTCACGCATTGAATCATGTGGAGTTAATCTCAGAGTAATTAAAGGCGAACTTGAAAATTTTACACAGTCACAGTCAGGCATTGAATCGTGTGAAATTAACTTTAAAACATCGTATAATTCTCAGATAAGTGATATTTTTATAAAAAATGTAAGGTTTAAATTATTATTGTTTATATATTTCATCATCATATTGGCATTTACAATATTATTGACACGCATACTTAAATTTTAAGTTTACAAATCATATGCAATCAAAAAAAAAATATATATGGGGTTACTCGCATTGAAATGGATAGAACTACTCGAAATAAAATGAATGAGACTATTCGAAATGAAATGAATGGGATTATTCGAAATGAAAAAAATCAATACATATTGGTAGTATCAGACGAATTTAGCTCTAGAAGAAACAGTTCAAATGGAACTTGCGTACATTGTAAACATTACAACACTTCCCCTGCATGGTGTCAATCATGTGATCCTTGGAAAGAAACTCAAAAATGGACAAGTGGAAATAAAGTGATTAATAATTCTATTAAAGAATTTCAACTTAAAGCCGAAGAATACGAGAAAGTAATTGAATGGATTCCGTTCGATAGGTTAGTAGTTAATCGTAAAGAGATTAAAAATGAATCTGATCCAGTATTCATGGCGACCTGGTCGGATTGTATACGAACAATTAAAGGCGAACCTGGAAGTTATACACGGTCACGCACCATTGCATGCGTTGAACTTGTAGAATTGCATGGTTCAAGCACTTTGGACCTTATAGAAAGTGTAAGTTAAAATTACAGTATTTTATGCTTAATGTTACACATTTAATTGGTTAACATTATTTCTTAACATTATTTCTTGTAAGTTTAAAAATTACATGCAAATAGAGAAGTATCAAATACACGGAATAACTCAAAATACAAAAACCGGAGAGTACATGATTGTGCTGGATTTTTATAGTAGCAAGAGAAAATCTATTAATGGAATGTGTGAACATTGTAAACGATATAATACTTATCCTGCTTGGTGTCAATCGTGTGATCCTTGGAAAGAAACTCAAGAATGGACAAGTGGAAACGAAGAGATTGATAGTTTCATTAAAGAATTGCAAATTAAAACCAATGAATATGAGAAGGTGATTGAATGGATCCCATTCGATAGGCTAGTTAATCGGCGAGAAATTAAAAATGAATCAGATCTAAGATTAATGGCAATCAATTTGAATGGTATAAGAATAATAAATGGTGAATCTGGAAATTATAAACAGTCACGCACTGGTCCATATTGCGTCGAGTTGATGAAATTGCATTGTTCTCAAACAAGCATTTTGAGCCTTATAGAAAATGTAAGTTAAAAATTATTTTATATTAGTTTAATATTGCAGTTTAATCGTACAGTTTAATCATACAGTTTGATTAACACTTTATTTTTTATAAGTTTAAAAATAATATGCAATTAAATCAATATAGGATATATGGAATAACTCAAAATACAGAAACTGATGAATACCTGATTGTGTTTGATTTTTATAATAATAAAAGAAAGTCCATTAATGGAAAGTGTGAATATTGTGAACGATATAACACTTGTCCAGTCTGGTGTCAATCATGTGATCCTTGGAAAGAACCTCAATTACGGACGTGTGACAAGAAGGGCATTGATGATTGTATCAAGGAATTTCGACTTAAAGCTACATCATATGAAAAAATGATTGAATGGATTCCATTTGAAAGCCTGGGAAATATAAAAATTATTGGCAAAGGAGGATTTGGTACAGTGTATTCAGCAACTTGGTCAGATGGTAAACGAATAGTGACTAGTGATAGTAGTAAGAAATATATGCGAATTCGTGACGAATGTCAAGTTGCACTTAAAACATTGCCTGGCCCTCAAACAGGCACAAAATTTTTAACAGAGGTAGACTAAGTTATCTGTTTAAATATAAATTTACTATACAAAATTTTTTTATTAATACTGTACCTTTTCTCAGTTTAAAAATCATATGCTACTTAGATTAGAGGGTAGTGAACTTGAAATATATGGGTTGACTCAGAATACAATGACTTGCCAATGTATGATGGTATATCAATATGCTAATAGAGGGAATCTTCATGACTTTTTAGCTAACAATTTTAGAAAGCTTACATGGCAAAAAAAACTCGAACAACTTGCATATATATCTTATGACCTATCTCAAATTCACGAAGCAGGGTTGATTCATAATGACCTTCACAGTGGAAATATTTTACTACATCAAAATATTATTGATAGAAATTTAATATCATACATCTCAGATCTAGGATTATCCAGAAAACAAGATGAGCAAGATGAAAATGAAAAAATTTATGGTGTAATGCCATTCGTTGCACCCGAAATTTTTATTAGCAGGAAACATACAAAGGAGGCAGATATTTATAGTTTAGGTGTTATTATGGCAGAAATATCATCTGGAAAAGCGCCTCATGATGAGCATGAATCCGATTTTAGCCTTGGATTAAAAATGATTTGCGGGTTAAGACCAGAATTTGCTGATGGAACACCTAATTGCTACACAGAATTAGCCATTCAATGCATGGATTTAAATCCACGAAACCGGCCTACTGCTAAATACATTCATTCAAAAATTGCTCATTGGAAAACAGAAAGTTTAACAGATGAAAAAGAGCTTGATATAAGAAATAAATTCATCATTGCTGATGACTTGATCAAAGTATCGCCACTAAAATCCTTATTAATACCCAAAAACAAGTATTATAGCAAATTAATTCCTGAAGGTACAATCATGTTCAAATATTTGCATTGATTATGTATTGTAACTCAACAATAATTTATTTATTAGTGCCTACAAGTGAACTTCCATATAAGCTTAATAGCGATTTATTGTTTGCTATCAACACCACTTACCAATAATCTCTAGCCAATAAACATAATAAGGTAACGATATTGAATAATAGTCTAGTTACTTACCGTGCGTGTACATAATTTTGTCTTCTTTTTTGTTACTATTATCTTTTTATTTATTGTCACTATTAAATATCTATTCTTTTTATTGTCTCTATTTTATTTTTCGTATCTATTTTATTAACCATAACGTTCTGGTTAA